GCCAATCCCTTTGTCCACCAGACAGACAAGCAGGGCAGGGCAGGACAGGGCAGAGCAGCAGGGAAGCCTAGAGGGATACGAGTGGCTTAAGGCTTGACAAGGGCCTGAAAGTTAAAGACTGTACGACTGACCTTATAGTAGAGGAGACTGCCTGTCCTCTCCAATGTGTAGAAGCAATTGAAAGTTTTCTCTTCTGGACTACTTTACATTATGACTCTGTTCATTTGACTAAGCAGACAAAGTCACTAAACAGACACAAGCTACAGTAGATTTGCATATTATAGTGACCAAGGGGACAACTGGGAAGTAGCTACAGTAGCCTATTCTAAGTCCCTGGCTAACTAACAGTAAACTCTAGTCCTTCAACATCAGATCTATAATCAACTGCAACATTAACTTTTCAATGCACCACCCAGGGACTCTGGACTCAAGGATTCATGAGTGAACAGACTATATGTCGTACATAGATAGTCTTAACATTGGGGTTTTTCTAGTCTCACCATCAACCAAATCTGTCTGTTACAACTAGTCATGAATGGAGTCAAGCTGTCCCCCAACACCACCAAGACTAAACAGATTACAACGAGACATGAATGGAGTCAAGCTGTCTCCAACACCACCAAGACTAAACAGATTACAACGAGACATGAATGGAGTCAAGCTGTCCCCCAACACCACCAAGACTAAACAGATTACAACGAGACATGAATGGAGTCAAGCTGTCCCCCAACAACACCAAGAATAAACAGTTGTCTTTATTTAATGAACAAACCCTCCATTAAAACAGCATTAGGTTATTTATTAGATCTACAGAACACACCCTCTTCCTCTGTGGTTCCCATAGACATGGAAAAACGTTGTTCAAACACACACACACACACACACACACACACACCACACACACACACACACACACACACACACACACACACACACACACACACACACACACACACACACACTAACTCACATGCATACATGCACATGCACTCACACAAACACACACACACAGACACACACACACTAACTCACATGCATACATGCACATGCACTCACACAAACACACACACACACACACACACACACACACACACACACACACACACACAACCTAAATGATACGTTACGTAATGTGTTATTAACGTTATCGACCCAGTGTGATGTTGTTGTTGTTTTAATGTGGAAGTAATTACGCCCTCCCTCTCTCTTTTCACTGGGAGGAGAACTAGATTAAACAATGGTAAAGCATACGAGGCTTACTACTAGCCAGTAAGGGTTGGGCTGGGGGGGCTGGGGGTTCTCATGATGAGGAGAGGTTGAGGTTTGGTTTCGGTTCCTGCTTAATCTGTAATTCCCTGGTTTGTCAAAGAGAGTATGATGTGTTATGTTTAGGGTCGGGAGTTTCTCTGTAGCCTATTGTGTTTAGGGCACAGGAGGTTGGTGGCACCTTAATTGGGGAGGACAGGTTCGTGGTAACGGCTGGAGCGGAGTCGGTTGAAAGGTATCAAATACATCAAACACATGGTTTCCATTTCTCCGTTCCAGCCATTATTATGAGCCGTCCTCCCCTCAGCAGCCTCCACTGGTTTAGGGCCAGGAGTTTCTCTGTAGCCTATTGTGTTTAGGGCCAGGAGTTTGATGTTTAGGGCTGATCACGTAATACAGGTAGTTGAATGAAGAGGAACCTTGCCTGAGACCTGAAGACTTCTGGACACTCTTCAAGCTAATGCTTAAGCTTCAGCTCAGCGGTCTAACGGTCTTGTCGGCATCATGCAGGACACCCGGGTTCGAACCCAATGGGTCAGTGCAGATATTGCAGGCTATAGTTTCTGAAGAATCTTTGAGATTCATGCAATTGATGCATCACCATCCACTCCTTCTTCGTGCCATTCTATCTGGTTTGTCCAGATATATGTGTTGTGCTATTATTAGTCCTGCTTCCCCCCATGAAGAAGGAGCGAGAGAGAGACAGTTTGTAGGGTGCTGTTACGGTATCACGTTTCATGTAGCCTACGGTGGTAACAGGACTCAGGTCTCGCTGCTACTACAGCGTTGCTGTGGAGAGGGGAAGGGGAAGACAACATGCAGAGGGGCGAAGTCCCAAATGGTGCCCTGTGGACCCTGGTCTAAAGTAGTGCACTACGTAGGGAATAGGGTGCCATTCTCTGGTCTAAAGTAGTTCACTATATAGGGAATAGGGTGCCATTCTCTGGTCTAAAGTAGTGCACTATATAGGGAATAGGGTGCCATTCTCTGGTCTAAAGTAGTGCACTACATAGGGAATAGGGTGCCATTCTCTGGTCTAAAGTAGTGCACTACATAGGGAATAGGGTGCCATTCTCTGGTCTAAAGTAGTGCACTACATAGGAAATAGGGTGCCATTCTCTGGTCTAAAGTAGTGCACTACATAGGAAATAGGGTGCCATTCTCTGGTCTAAAGTAGTGCACTACATAGGGAATAGGGTGCCATTTGGGGCGCAGTCATGTCGGACCTCAAAAGTGGTCTCATGTCGAGATTAGTCCATCTCGTCCCATGCCATCTGTTGGTTAGATCCAGCTTCAATCCCAAATGATAATAGCCACCATCTATCATCAATGGTGTAATAAGCTGCTCTGCATGCCCTTTTTACATCTAAAATTGAAGTCTCAGACAGAAATTCATTATTTAAGTAATAATTAGTGCCATACAGAGTTAAGTCATAATCCACAACAGAATGGTGACTGGTTGGTAGATAAGCCCTGTCCATTGGGAAATGGGAAACCCCCATGTTGGCGTCATGCCTTCTATTTCTCCAAGAGATACCACGGCGTTGGGGTTTTAAGGTTCGGGTTAGTGGTTTTAATGCACCATACTTCCAACCTTTCTAGTATGTCTGGCCAGACAGTCACTGGGAGGGCTAGTAGAGTTTAGCCGTCTCCCTGTAGAGTTAGTGGTATAATATCCCTCATTTCAAAACCACCAAACTTCTGTCCTTCCCAGTACAGCTAGCTAGCTTCCCTCTGTACTGATCTATACATGGCCACACCCTCTCTCTAGCTACGGCTAGCAGGCTGGGTCACACCCTCTCTCTAGCTACGGCTAGCAGGCTGGGTCACACCCTCTCTCTAGCTACGGCTAGCACGCTGGGTCACACCCTCTCTCTAGCTACGGCTAGCAGGCTGGGACACACCCTCTCTCTAGCTACGGCTAGCAGGCTGGGTCACACCCTCTCTCTAGCTACGGCTAGCATGCTGGGTCACACCCTCTCTCTAGCTACGGCTAGCAGGCTGGGTCACACCCTCTCTCTAGCTACGGCTAGCAGGCTGGGTCACACCCTCTCTCTAGCTACGGCTAGCAGGCTGGGTCACACCCTCTCTCTAGCTACGGCTAGCATGCTGGGTCACACCCTCTCTCTAGCTACGGCTAGCAGGCTGGGTCACACCCTCTCTCTAGCTACGGCTAGCAGGCTGGGTCACACCCTCTCTCTAGCTACGGCTAGCAGGCTGGGTCACACCCTCTCTCTAGCTACGGCTAGCAGGCTGGGTCACACCCTCTCTCTAGCTACGGCTAGCAGGCTGGGTCACACCCTCTCTCTAGCTACGGCTAGCAGGCTGGGTCACACCCTCTCTCTAGCTACGGCTAGCAGGCTGGGTCACACCCTCTCTCTAGCTACGGCTAGCAGGCTGGGTCACACCCTCTCTCTAGCTACGGCTAGCAGGCTGGGTCACACCCTCTCTCTAGCTACGGCTAGCAGGCTGGGACACACCCTCTCTCTAGCTACGGCTAGCAGGCTGGGACACACCCTCTCTCTAGCTACGGCTAGCAGGCTGGGTCACACCCTCTCTCTAGCTACGGCTAGCAGGCTGGGTCACACCCTCTCTCTAGCTACGGCTAGCAGGCTGGGTCACACCCTCTCTCTAGCTACGGCTAGCAGGCTGGGACACACCCTCTCTCTAGCTACGGCTAGCAGGCTGGGTCACACCCTCTCTCTAGCTACGGCTAGCAGGCTGGGACACACCCTCTCTCTAGCTACGGCTAGCAGGCTGGGTCACACCCTCTCTCTAGCTACGGCTAGCACGCTGGGTCACACCCTCTCTCTAGCTACGGCTAGCACGCTGGGTCACACCCTCTCTCTAGCTACGGCTAGCAGGCTGGGTCACACCCTCTCTCTAGCTACGGCTAGCAGGCTGGGTCACACCCTCTCTCTAGCTACGGCTAGCACGCTGGGTCACACCCTCTCTCTAGCTACGGCTAGCAGGCTGGGTCACACCCTCTCTCTAGCTACGGCTAGCAGGCTGGGTCACACCCTCTCTCTAGCTACGGCTAGCAGGCTGGGTCACACCCTCTCTCTAGCTACGGCTAGCAGGCTGGGTCACACCCTCTCTCTAGCTACGGCTAGCAGGCTGGGTCACACCCTCTCTCTAGCTACGGCTAGCAGGCTGGGTCACACCCTCTCTCTAGCTACGGCTAGCAGGCTGGGTCACACCCTCTCTCTAGCTACGGCTAGCAGGCTGGGTCACACCACACCCTCTCTCTAGCTACGGCTAGCAGGCTGGGTCACACCCTCTCTCTAGCTACGGCTAGCAGGCTGGGTCACACCCTCTCTCTAGCTACGGCTAGCAGGCTGGGTCACACCCTCTCTCTAGCTACGGCTAGCAGGCTGGGTCACACCCTCTCTCTAGCTATGGCAGGGCTACAGCAGGGTTAAATATAGATGGGCTATGTATAGTCTGTGAGCCTTTCCGTCTGTCTCTGTGAGGGAGAGTGACCCTGCTGCCCGGTGGGTCTTGTGATCTGAGGGTTCTTGTGGACAATGTGGTCATGCAGCTAGACTGAACTGGACAGCATGGTAGAACAGTAGAGGACACGTCAGGTCAGGAGGGACTACTATATGAATGCTGACCTGGTTGGCTATATGTCCAGTAGTAAAAACAAATTGGTCATTGATTCAAAACAATACACATTTGGTTTTCCCTCGAGGTATTGAAAAAAACAACTTACTCCACATTGACATACTCCA